GTGGGGGGGGGGAGGAAGCAAACAGTTGGTATTTTGAGTGACATGTTGGAACACTGCTGAGATTGTTTTTATACTGTTGTGCTTTTATTTTTGTGATTTGTTTTTGCCGTACTGATAAGATGTTCAAAACCTTAACTTAAATATCCTGATGCATCTCAGTAATCCAGGTAAAAAATCTAAAAGAAAAAAAATTGTRTAGGTCTTCTGGACGGGTTCTTCTCTAATGAAACGTTTCGTCTCTCCTCCAAGAGACTTCTTCAGTCTGAGAGTTTCAGGCAAAATTCAGGCTTTTAAGCCCTGCCTCCATGTGACTGATACTCACATCACATGGCTATCGTTGACACCTAATTAACACCTATTGTTAACAGGGGGTGGAGTGATACTGGTAATGGCAGCGCTGTAGGAGGGGGACAACTGAAAATGGAGGTCCCCCTCCTACAGTGCTGCTATTGCCAGTATCACTCCACCCCCGTTAACAATAAGTGTTAATTAGGTGTCAACAATAGCCATGTGATATGAGTATCAGTCACATGGAGGCAAGGCTTAAATGCCTGAATTTAGCCTGAAACTCTCAGACTGAAGAAGTCTCTTRGAGGAGAGACGAAACGTTTCATTAGAGAAGAACCCGTCCAGAAGATTTTTTTCTTTTTAACTTAAATAGTTTTAGCTAAATTCAGGAAAACAATTATCAAACAAGTTTATCTGTCCAACAGTCACCTAGAGCCTCCTGCTTTTACTTGCTTTGTGCAAACATTCGTGTAGTAGTGTATGGCTACAAGCAAACAACTGATAATTTATTGAACTGAATGCTTTTATTTCTCTGCAAAGAGAGTCTGCAGGAGACGCTGTGGATTGTTGATTTACTGATRACACATTCACTGTAGCAATCCAGGTCAATTAGAGCACCTGCAAGCTTCAGTCTTATCGGCTGCTTTTGTGTTTATTTCTTCCTGTTCTGATAGTGTTTGTGTCTCTTAGGTATGCAAAGGCACCAGTGGAGATGCTGCCTGCAGTGGAGATCATGTTTYGTGTTTTCCAACAAGGTGATAAAATAAAGTAAATTTTATATACATTTTAGATTATTTTTAATATATTTTATTATAATTCTAACCAGTGGGTTCAGTGTTGTAAAGCAGGTTACTTTTGATTTAGGTGTTGCCTATAAATAAATAAATAAATAAACCTTTGCTGTTCTGGGGAAATTGTTTCCAGCCTCACATGTGGTCACAGTCTTTGCTTTAAATGGCATTACTGCTGGCAAAGAAACCCTAATAACATAAAAATTTCAACTCAGATTCATAAATGACTCTGGTTTTAGTATTTAATACCACACAGCCACACTGCTTTTGCAGAGTAAAAAACAACAATTAGAATTTTGTGTATAATTTTGTGTTTTAGAAAGGTGGAAATAAATAAATTATGTTGTTTACAGATTTTTCTTAGCAAACTTTCCTAATGATCTGATAATTTACAAGTAGATGTGACTCAAAATATTGCTCCGGATTTACTTTTTAACAAATTGTTAACAGGTTCTACTCAACTGAATTGAGTAAATGTAACATATTTACTTCACATAAACTTATAATATAAATGTAAAAAATGCTTTACGTTTACTCATTTTAGTTGAGTAGAACTTGTTGACATAATTTGTTTAAGTAATTCCAACACAAATGTTTTTATAGTCAAGGATAGAGATGAACTACGTTTTTTTTTTTAAACGTAAATAGTATTTTATGAGCTGTTAAATGCCCTATACAATTAATTTGGAGATTTCATTTAACAAGCCGTAAATTTTCAGTATATAATAAATGACATGGTATGGAAACTAATTTCATTTTCAATGAAACATTTTTTTCTTCACGGCTGCATTTTTCAAAGATAAATTGCAGAAATCAAATGGGTGGGCTAACCTATGATAGATAATACCAGCAAGAACAATGTGGGCAAACACAAAAAGACCAAATGTTGAGCCCAAAACAATGAGTCGCCCCTAAGAGCTCAATTATTTTTAAGTTCAAATGCCCACAGCATTGTCTGGCCTCTCTAACCACATCCCAGCTCCACAATCATAAGAAACTACGTGTCTAAATATATTAGCAGAACAATAGGCTCACACATAAAAATATATATAATTTAAGAGTTATTTTGTGCAAACAAAAACTATTAGGCAAAGTTTAAAGATTGTTCATGAGCTGACATTTTTAAGGCTTTAAATAATTAATTTCAACACCTGATATAGAAGTATTTTGTATTGAATGTTGAATCAGACTCATACTGAATCATATCATATAATGAGAAAACTTGCATTATAATTAGAAGCTGAATTGTATTGTATCATTACAGCCCAAGTGTCTCTAATGAATTGGATCGTTGCCAGTGTTTAAAGATAAATATCTCCAGAGCATCTTCCAGTTGCACTTTGAGCTGTTTGRATATAAAACAAATGGGGAGCGGGTTTCAGAGTTGGATGTGTATCATATTCATGACAACCTTGTGCCTCTTTGAAACATACAGTAGAGGTTATTGTCCACCGCTGTATCTTCCTCCATACGTCAGTCACACAGATTTTCAAGAGAGAAAATATTATAAAAATACATCATTGTCATGCAGAAGGAAGCTGCAGTTTTATCGCCTCACGTTGCCTTATCATAAAACAGGCGGATCTCATTAATTTGAATTCTGTCCTGCTCAGATCTGTCATGTCCTCCATTCATGAGTAACGTAAAGGTTACACTTTGCTTCTGTTTTCATTTTTCATTATTATTGTGTTTGCATTTATCTACAGGCAGATTTTTGTTGTTGTTGTGTTGGCTCATATCGAAATAAACTGGAGTTTACATTTACACACTTCTGGGGTGAAAGATTTTGCACAATAAATAAATAAATA